GCCAGCCCACGTCCCCGATAGCAAAACCCTCTCAAAAAAAAAAAAAAAAAAAGTGGTGATAGGTACATCTGTTTTGCCTGTGCCAGTTCATGATGGTTCACCTGGCATTTATGTGAGTCCAGGGGAACAAGCATCCCAATGTCCCCTACAAGGATATTTTCTAACTCTACCAATTCAGAATAGTGTGGGCTAAATGGAAGGATCTTGACAATATTTGTTTTTTCCTGAAGTCCCAGGCTGTGGGTTTTGTTGAAAAGGATGAGCAGAAAATTCTCACATAATAAATACCTATGATGTCTGCAATCAGGGTTAGGGACAACTGAGGCTCAGAGAGGCACTCACCCTGGGTAACGGGGCCGAGGTAGTGCCGGGCCCTTCAAAGTGGGGCTGAGACTCCAGCAGCTGCACATCCGAGGCTGTCTTAGGATCTCCGTCTTATGGGGAGTTCACCCATCGTGACTCATAGACCCACAGGCTGCAGCTCAGCGTCTCCCAGCCCTGGCACCGAACCTGCATCATGGTTGTGCCCAGGGGTCAGCCACAGAGGGGTTCATGCAGCCCTGCCTGCCAGTGGGCTGGACGGGCCACAGCTTCTGTCTGCAGGAGGAGAATGACAGTGCACACCTGTCAGGGTCCTCCTGAGGACGCAGTCGGCGGAGCGCTTCCCCCGAGCCAGGCAGGTGGCAGGTGGCCGAGTGCATATCAGCGCCGTCCCCTTCATTCCCTGACATCCTTTAACCATTTTTTCCCGCATTAATCCAATTAATCACTTCTACATTTTAAACTAATTTCTTCACATTAACCCAGTCGTCAGATCTGTATTTCAGTCTGGTCTGAACCAGGGTTTGAAAGAGTGAGGGGTAGGGGTGGGGGAGGGAAGAACTCTGGACCCATTTGTCTTCTTTCTCTGCACTTCTCATTTTTTATGCCTCAGCAAATTTCCTAATTTTCTTCATTAGCGACTAATTTACAAGTCTCAACAATCTTTCCACCTGTTCCTTTCATCGTGGATGTTGCGAGATTGGAAATAGCCATTTGCTCACTTGTGTGATGCTGGTAACGTGTTTCCCAGAAAATGAGGATGGGGGGGTGCTGGGCCCTTGGCACAGGCCCAGAGGCAATGCCACAGAAGCACGAAGAAGTGGCGGTAGGTGCACCTTCTCTGCCCGTGGCCGAGTTCACGATGTTCACCTGACATGCATTTGAGTCCTTGGTGACAAGCACCTCAACAACCTCCCCATTCATGTCTCCAGGGCCTTCTTGTCCCCAAACCAGCTGGCCCGCTCTGACCCATGGCTTGAATTCATGCTGCTGGGTCTGAATTCCCAGAGAACTGAGAGCAGCTCTGGGTTGTGCTGATTGTCGGTTTCATGACTGGCTTTGGATGATGCCGTTTTCAGAAATTCCTCTCACGTCAGGGGTAACTGCTAGGCTTTGCATAAAGGCCGGAGGCCCAGGAGGGACAGAGGGCTTCATCTTGGACCCCTCCCATTTTATTTTTCTCTTGAAGATAGTGTCAGAAAAATCACTTTCTCTAGTTTGCTGGTGGTAGTAGCAGCAGTAGTGTAGACCAGCATAAACTGGGCTCTCATTATGGTCTAGGTACGATTTGGATCTTTCTGCATTAGCTCACTGTGCCTTCCTAGGAGTCCTCCCAGTGGGGGAGATGGAGGAGGCAGGATCAAGGGGCAGTTTAAGGTCTGCCCTTACTCCATAGTATCAGGCTGTGTGTACTTGGGCAAGTGCTTTGAGGTCTCTGGGCCTCATGGCAGTGTCTATACAGCAAGTATAACAACAGTGCCTGCTTCATGGGACTTCCAGGAGGATGAAATGGCCAAACGTGCAACTGGCTTTTAACAACACGGGACACAGAGCGCCCAAAGAGGGCTCGCCTCATGAAAACTTCTTGACAGGTGGGACCTTGGGGCTCACTCAGGGAGGCAAGGAGCCTGGCCAGTTGCACCTCTGGCTTCTGCCCATTGTGTGTGGTGCCCCCACAGCCGGAGTGCTGTCTCTTTCTCTCCAGCTGTCAGAACGTGTTGGGCAATGCATGGTGGGTGCTAGGATCAACCTCGTGGTGTGGGCAGGCTGGCCAGCACCGACAGGAGCTCAGGGGGAGTCTGCTCGATTACCACTTCCTCTTTAAGGCCACCAGTGAAATGCTCTCCCAAGGCTGTATCTCTGAGAAGGCCTCGTTAACAGGAGCCTGAGCCAAAGGGGCTTAGCAAAGGCGGCTGATCGCTGGTAGTACATTTAAATCCAGGCCCTGGGGTGAGCCTGGGACACTCATTTTCTTTTCTAGACTTGTCCACAGGCACTCAGAAGAAACCTCAGAGAGTCAGTCCAAGGCCAGGTAACTGGCCGATGCACCTGCTGGGAACCTCTCGTGGGCATCTGGGCAGTGGCCTCCGTCACCAGCCACACCATAGGGCCAACAGCCTCAATTTCTAGCAAAGCTCTTTGGGAGCTGTTTCTCATTACTTGCTTGCATCAATTTGATTTTCTCTGCTAAGCGGAAGGCTATGGAAAAGCTGCGTTTGGAAATCCATGATTTCCTGGCAGTTAATGAATTTCAGCCAAACGGAAGGCAAGGTGAGGTTCTTGTGTGCCACTCAGACCCCAGTGCAGGAAGGACCAGAGGCTAGG